AGCCTAAGAAGCTCTATGGAGCAGTTCTACTCTGTCCTATAGGGTCGCTATGAGTCGGAATCAACTAGACTGCACACGATATCAACATTCCTAGGTTACTTGGAGATCATGTGGACTGTATCTTTTCCTTTGTTTGTGCTTGCTTGCTTGCCTGCTTAATCTGCTCTTTTATATCTCAAAGAGATTGTCTTAAAACACACCCTACACTAATACTGCCTCATTAACATGAAAAGAATCTATTCCCAAGTGGGATTATAACCACAGCTATGTTGTTGTTGTTGTTAGGTGCCTTCGAGTCAGTTCCAACTCATAGTGACCCTATGTACAACAGAAGAAAACACTGCCCAGTCCTGCGTCACAGCTTGGGTCAGGTGCACCTTAGTCTTCAAGGTGACATCTTTGCTTTGTAACACTTTAAAGCGGTCTTTGCAGCAGATTTGCCCAATGCAATGCGTCTTTTGATCTCTTGACTGCTGCTTCCATGGGTGTTGATTGTCGATCCAAGTAAAATGAAATCCTTTACAACTTCAATCTTTCCTCCATTTATCATGATGTTGCTTATTGATCCAGTTGTGAGGATTTTTGTTTTCTTTATGTTGAGGTGCAATCCATACTGAAGGCTTTGATCTTCATCAGTAAGTGTTTAAAGTCCTCTTCACTTTCAGCAAGCAAGGTTGCATCATCTGCATAATGCAGCTTATTAATGAGTCTTCCTCTGATTCCGATGCCCTGTTCTTCTTCATATAGTCCAGCTTCTCAGATTATTTGCTCAGCATACAGATTGAATGAGTGTAGTGAAAGGATACAACCCTGACACACACCTTTCATGACTTTAAACCACACAGTATTCCCTTGTTCTGTTTCAACAACTGCCTCTTGATGTATGTACAGGTTCCTCATGAGCACAGTTAAGTGTTCTGGAATTCCCATTCTTCACAATGTTATCCATAATTTGTTACGATCCACACAGTCGAATGCCTTTGCATAGTCAGTAAAACACAGGTAAACATCTTTCTGGTAGTCTCTGCTTTCGGCCAGGATTCATCTGACATCATCAGTGATATCTCTTGTTCCACATCCTCTTCTGAATCCGGCTTGAATTTCTGGCAGTTCCCTGTTGATATTCTGCTGCAGCCACTTTTGAATGATCTTCAGGAAAATTTTACTTGCGTGTGATATTAATGATATTGTTTGATAATTTCTGCATTCAGTTGGATCACCGTTCTTGGGAATAGGCATAAATATGGATCTCTTCCAGTCAGTTGGCCAGGTAGCTGTCTTCCAAATTTCCTGGCATAGATGAGTGAGCACTTCCAACACTACATCCGTTTGCTGAAACATCTCAACTGGTATTCCGTCAATTCCTGAAGCCTTGTTTTTCGCCAGTGCCCTCAATGTAGCTTGGACTTTTTCCTTCAGTACCATAGGTTTCTGATCATATGTTACCTCCTGAAATGGCTGAATGTCGACCAATTCTTTTTGGTATAGTAACTCTGTGTATCCTTTCCATCTTTTTTGATGCTTCCTGCCCATAGAATCCTTCAGTATTGCAACTTGAGGCTTGAATTTTTTCTTCAGTTCTTTCAGCTTGAGAAATGCCGAGTGTGTTCTTCCCTTTTGGTTTTCTATCTCCAGGTTTTTGCACATGTCATTATAATACTTTACTTTGTCTTCTCAAGCTGCCCTTTGAAATCTTCTGTTCTGCTCTTTTACTTCATCATTTCTTCCTTTTGCTTTAGCTACTCGACGTTCAAGAGCAAGTTTCAGAGTCTCTTCTGAGATCCATTTTGGTCTTTTTCGTTCTTTCCTGTCTTTTTAATGGCCTCTTGCTTTCTTCATGTATGATGTCCTTGATGTCATTCCACTCATCTGGTCTTTGGTCATTAGTGTTCAATGCATCAAATCTATTCTTGAGATGGTCTCTAAATTCAGGTGGGATATACTCAAGGTCATACTTTGACTCTCGTGGACTTGCTCTAATTTTCTTCAGTTTCAACTTGAATTTGCATATGAGCAATTGATGATCTGGTCTGCAGTCGGCCCCTGGCCTTGTTCTGACTGATGATTTTGAGCTTTTCCATGGTCTCTTTCCACAGATGTAGTTGATTTGATTCTTGCGTATTCCATCTGGTGAGGTCTATGTGTATAGTCATTGCTTATGTTGTTGAAAAAAGGTATTTGCAATGAAGAAGTCACTGGTCTTGCAAAATTCTATCATGTGATCTCTGGCATTGTTTCTATCACCAAGGCCATATTTTCCAACTACCGATCCTTCTTCATTTCCATCTTCTGCATTCCAATCACCAGTAATTATCAATGCATCCTGATTGCATGTTCGATCAACTCAGACTACAGAAGTTGGTAAAAATCCTCAACTTCTTCAGCCTTGGCCTTAGTAATTGGTACATAAATTTGAATAATAGTCGTATTAACTGGTCTTCCTTGTAGGTGTATGGATATTATCCTATCACTGACAGCGTTGTACTTCAGGATAGATCTTTAAACGTTCTTTTTGACGATGAACGTGATACCATTCGTCTTCAATCTGTCATTCCCAGAATAGTTGACCATATGATTGTTGGATTCAAAATGGTCAATACCAGTCCATTTCAGCTCACTAATGCCTAAGATACTGATGTTTATGCATTCCATTTCATTTTGACGATTTCCAATTTTCCTAGATTTACACTTCGTACATTCCACGTTCAGATTATTAATGGATGTTTGCAGTTGTTTCTTCTCATTTTGAGTTGTGCCACATCAGCAAATGAAGGTCCCAAAAGCTTGACTCCATCCACATCATTAAGGTTGACTCTACTTTGAGGAGGCAGCTCTTCCCTAGTCGTATTTTGAGTGCCTTCCAATCTGAGGGGCTCATCTCCCAGCACTATATCAGACAATGTTCTGCTGCTATTTATAAGGTTTTCACTGGCTAATTATTTTCTGAAGTAGACTGCTGGGTCCTTCTACCTAGTCTTAGTCTGGAAACTCAGCTGAAACCTGTCAGCCATGAGTGACCCTACTGGTATTTGAACCCTGGTGGCATAGCTTACAGCATCACAGCAACATGCAAACCCCCACAGTATGACAAACAGACAGACGTATGGGGGAACCACAGATATAGGGGTTAGGATTTACAACGCAGATTTTAGGAAGACTCAGTTCAATCCATAATAGTATCCTCTTCAATGTGCAACAGGTAACTGAGATGCTATGGGACCTTGAAGTTCCAGTACATTAATGGAAGGGCTCAGTGAGACGTGGCAAAGAGGGCTGCACAGTAGTTTATGAACACATCTGGGAGGTCTCTTGGGAGCTTCCAAGGAAACCCAGGGATTCCTTGGTAGGAAGAGGAATGCCTGTAGGAGCTCCCCAGTAAGCAGGTAGGAGCAAAAGTTGGGGAAGTTTGAGTTAACTGATTATGTGAGATCGATTTACCTCCAGGCAGATTCAGAAGTATAAAAGCAATGGGCATCTCAGAATTTAAAGTGGTGGGCATGGAAAATAACAAAAAACAAAGTATGATGTAAACTACAAACTTGTGGTTCCAGCAATACTGCAGCATAGATCACATAAAAGACACTTTGCTACTAACATCTAAAAACGCTGGATAAAATCTGACATTGTTTTAAAGGCAGAGCTAAGCTTAAAAAAAAGAAAGAAACAAATGCTTAGATGCAAGCAACCAAGAGTAATAATCACGTGAGCAGTTGCCTGGGGGCGGTTTATTATCCTCAGTAACCTACAAGCTTAGCTTTAGTTACAGAAGACAAGAAATAAGGCTTTTGGCCCTAGGACATGAAGAGTCAGTATCATGCCTCAGCATAAAACCCAGAGCTCCTAAGAATTTGTCATTTACAGAAGGGATGGCTAGAAACAAATCTTCTCTATGTCACAGGGAGATGACTGGGGTGCTCAAGAAAGGTTTGAGGTCTCATGTACTGCTAGGGATATGTATTCAGAGTCACTTTTTAATAAATGATTTGCTTTCACTTCTGAAAGTTCCATAGCTGGTAGAGTAAAGTCTCTAATTCTTATTATCTCCTCAGCTAGTGGAAAAGGGGAAATGAGGCACAGAGAGCGCCAAATCATTTTAGGGCTAAATCTGGGAGTGGGTCACATCACCTCCACTCCCATCCTCATTGTCTAGAACTTAGTCACATGATAACACCCAGCTAAATGACGAGGGAGTTCTACCACTAAAAGGAAGAAAGGGAAACTACACATATTGGGGAACAATTGTCAGTGCCTGAGGTCTCAGTGGGAATTACTGGATGGTGCAAAAAGTTAAGTGCTTGGCTGCTAACCAAAAGACTGGTGGTTGGAATCCACCCAGAGGTGCCTCAGAAGGAAGACCTGGCCATGTACTTCCAAAAAATCATCCACTGAAAACCCCATGAAGCACAGATCTACTCTGACACACATGGGGTGACAATGAGTTGGCATCCACTTGAGGGCAACTGGTTTGTTTTTGGTCTTGAGGTCTCAGCGAGAGGGCACAGTGTGGGAGTTAATAAGTAAATCTACTTTTTTTTAAAAACTTCACTTTATATTATAACGTACACACATAAAAGTGCACAAGTCACAAGTGGGTAGCTTCCTGACTATTCAGAGTGAACACAATTGTGTAACGAGCTCCCAGGTCAAAAAATTGAACACATCAGGAACCTAGGGTTTTGAGTTTTCATGACAGCCTGAGGGCGGAGTCAAAAGGGACGGCGCTCTACGTTTAGCCAGGTCGCTAAACTAGGGGCGTGGAAGCCACGTGAAGGCGGGGCCAAGGGCGGTTGAAGGGTTGTTACGCGAGAGTAGGTGTGGTTAGGCGAAAAGACCAGGAGTTTAGTAGCCAGTTCTAGAGGCAAGGAAGGGGCGGGACCTTGTGGAGATATACATTGGGGGCCGGGCTTCCTGGCTCGGAGTCCCAGCTAGAGCGATAGGGCGAGGTTTAGCAACAGGATGAGCGAGGTCTAGCGGTCCTGAGGCTACCTTGGGCCCCAAAGGCGAGTCAAGCGGAGAGGTGGCAGGGTTCAGCGACGAAAGATGCCTTAAGAGTTCAGTCGCCCTGCGTTACGCGCGGGAGCGGGGCTTCGCGCCGTCAGTACGGACGCTGGTGCGAGGGGGCGGGGCCAGGCCCGCGCGCTCCAACATGGCGGCGGCCAGTGCGGCAGGCCCGGCGGCGAACGTTTTCCCGTTCCGCGACGCTCGCTCCGCGCCGGATCCGGTGCTGGAGGCCGGCCCGGTGGCATACGGGCCGCTGCCGGTGCCGCTGGTGCTGGATAATGGGTCGTTCCAGGCTCGTGCCGGCTGGGCGTGTCCCGGCCCGGATCCTGGCCCTGAGCCGCGCCTGCAGTTCCGTGCGGTGTGTGCCCGCGGTCGTGGTGCGGCGCGGGGCGGGCCGGGCCCTCAGGTGGGCAACGCGCTGGGCAGCTTGGAGCCGCTGCGCTGGATGCTGCGCTCGCCCTTCGACCGCAACGTGCCGGTTAATCTGGAGCTCCAGGAGCTGCTGTTTGACTATAGCTTCCAGCATCTGGGTGTTTCCTCACAGGTAAGAGGCAGGGGTGTGGTGCGTTGAGGGGAGGGGTGAAACTTGTCCTTGCTCACTCCTGTCTCCCTGAGAAATAACAACCCCTCCAGTGGGTTTGATTGTCATTGTCATTCACTCAATTGGTGGATCAAATATTAAGCGCCTAACGTGTGTAGGGCCTTTGCTAAGCGCTGAGGGTAGAGCAGTGAACAGCACAAAGCCTCCCCCCGCCCCCCACCGCCTTTTCTCTTGGAGCGTACATTCTGGCATATGTGCTCGTTTGCTAATAAATTCATTTATTAACAAATATTTATTGAGTGCCTACTCTTGTCAAGCACTTTCTAGGTGGTTGGAATACAACTGTGAACATAACAGAAATTCCTGTGTTTATGGAAGTCGTATAGAAAGTCATTCTAGTATGGTAGCACAGACGATAAACAATAGAACAAAGAAGTAAGTTCCGTGACATGATAGAAGGAGAGGAGAGGGTTACATTTTTTAATAAGATGATCAGGGTAGGTCTCCTGGAGAAAGTGGTATTTGAGCAAGAACTTGAAGGAGGTGATTGAGGGAGTAAGCCATGTGGATATCTGAAGGAAGAGTGTTCCAGACAGAACAGCCAGTGCGAAGGTCCTGAGGCAGGAGTGTGCCAGTCCCTAGAAAAGGACATCATGTTTGGTAAAGTAGAAGGTCAGTGAAAACGAGGGAAATCCTCAATGAGATGGATTGACACAATAGCCACAACAATGGACCCAAACATATCAAAGATCATGAAGATGGCGCAGGACTGGGCAGTGTCTCATTCTTTTATACATAAGGTCATCGTGAGTCAGAGTCAGACTGGGTAACTAACATTAAGAGTGTGAAGGGGAGAGTAGTACTAAGTGGAAGAGGGGGTCAGAGAGGTAGCCAGGGAACAAATCACACGCTTTGTAGGCTTTTACTGTAAGTGAAATGGGGAGCTGTTGCAGGGTGTTGAGCGAAAGAAGGATATGACTTAGGTTTTAAAAGAATCAACTATGACTACTGCAGAGGAGCCCTGGTGGTGCAGCGGTTAAGCGTGGACTGCTAACTGAAAAGTTGGCAGTTCCAGCCTACTCAGTGGCTCTGTGGGAGAAAGACCTGGTAATCTGATCTGCTCTCATAAAGATTACAGTGTAGGAAACTCTATGGGGCAGTTCTGCTCTGTCACATGGGATCACTTTGAGTTGAAATCAACTCAGTGGCACCCAACAACATGGCTGCTACATGGACTGTCATGAGGCAGAGGATGGAACAGAACAGCTGTTGCAGTGATCTGGGTGAGAGATAATGGTGGCTTAGAAGAGGGAGGCTGCATGGGATGTGGTGAGAAGCAGTTGGATTCTGGAGATATTTGAAAGATAGAGCCAACAGAATTTGCTGACAGTTTGGATGGGCTTGACTTAATGACGTTAAATTGTTTGACCCTCCTTTCGCATTTTCCAAAGCAACCTCCTGTAGAACTGAGAGGAATGTTTTTCAGTGGCTTCTTATCAAGTATTTGATTAGAGACCAAAAGCAAATTCAGCTCTACAATAAGGATTTTGTTTTCTTTTATGCTTTAAAAAGAATATTCTTCAGCTATCACTCATCTGTTTGCCCTTTTCTTTCAAAGTAGGGCTGTGTTGATCATCCCATAGTTTTGACAGAAGCTGTGTGCAACCCACTGTATTCACGGCAAATGATGTCCGAGCTTCTTTTTGAGTGCTATGGGATTCCAAAGGTTGCCTACGGAATAGACAGTCTCTTCAGCTTCTACCACAATCAGCCAAAGAACTTGATTTCCAGTGGGCTCATCATTTCATCTGGATATCAGTGTACACATATTTTACCCATCTTAGAAGGGAGGTGAGTTACATTTATCACATTTGAGTGCTATTTATAGACGTGTTCAAGAAACATTTATTGAGTGCCTGCTTTGAAGATGGAGTGGACGAGCAAGTGCTGGACCAGGAACTGGGCCTCTGGGTTTGGCTCTGACCCCACTTTACTGTTAGACGATGGTTAAGTCACTTTACCTTCCTTCCTTAGTGACCTCCTGGAGGGAGTTGGAGTAGGTGGTCTCTCAGGTCCAAATCCATAATTCTAGAATTTTATAATTCTAATTTATGGGGAGATACTAGCACAGTACCTGCAGGTAGTAGGCACTCAATAAAAATGTTTTGAATAACTTACTTGAATATATTAGATTTAGACTGTCTTTTTGTACTGGAGTCACTTTTTTATTAAGAGATTGTATTTTTTTTTCAAAGCTTTTTAATCACTATTGTTTAGACCTTTACAGGTACAGTGCCTGGCACATGATACACACTTACTGAATATTTCTGAATTGAATAAAAGATGAAGGTAGTTTCTGTCATATTTAAAATCTGTCCTCACTTTGTAGTTGGACTTTAGTTGTCTGATAAGAGACGACCAGCTTTGTGCTGTCTTTGTTTAAAAGGTTCCTCACAGTGCAGAAATAGAGTACGTGCAGTAGGAGAGAGAGCCCTGGCTTTGGGGCTGAGTGCCTGGCTTTGTAGCCCTGCTAAGGAGGAAGCATTTAACCTCTCCACTTCAGTTTCCTAACATGCAAGTTTGGGATACAGTGATTTCTCAGGGCTATCCTGAGGATGAAATGAGATAATTTAGGTGACAGTGCTTTTTAAACTGTAACCAAAAAACCAAACCCACTGCCATTAAGTCGATTCCCACTTATAGGGACCCCATAGGGTTTCCAAGGCTGTAAATCTCTACGGAAGCAGACTGCCACATCTTTCTCCTGTGGAGCCGCTGGTGCTTTCCAACTGCTGACCTTTCATTTAGCCGTCGATTGCTTTAACCACGGCGCCACAAGGGCTTCTTTTTAAACTGAAAAGCAGTTTGCATATTTAAGTCACAGTGTTAAATGTTAAATGCTTAAATTTATTTGAGACCTATATTTAAATAAATACTTCAATTGATTGAAACCTTTATTGGGAGTTTCTCTTTAAGCATCTTTGAAAATTTATGAAGAAGAAAGTATATTCTTAGACATTACCAAATATTCTTGAAATACAGAGGGTCTCTGTTTTATTGGGTACGCAGAAATTAAAAATAGCATGTTGAGAGAAAATTGTTTTACCTGAAAGCTCAGAAATGAGCAGATTGGAGCATATCCTGTTCTATGCTGGCATCTACTGGTGAGGTCTGATACAGCAGTGACATTTCCATATACAGCAAGTTCTTAAATGCTGTTCTGTTCTTTCTCACAGTAAGGCTACTCTGGTTCTTTTTCTTTTCAGTTCGTGTGAGTGGCATCTAGTGCTCTTAGGAGATTACTGCAAACCAATATATGTATGGTTACTTAATGTGTTTGCATCAGTAGAAGTGGGGTATCTAGGGCAGGGGTTCTCAAACTCTGGTCCACACCAGAATCACCTGGGAAGCTTGTTAAAAAGGCAGATTCTCACGTCCCACCCAGGCCAAAACAGTTGGACTCTCTCGGGGTGAAGCCATGGGAATTGGCATTTTGAACATTTTCCCATATAATTCTGGGATACTTGGTCCTAGGACTACAGCTTGAGAAATATATGATGAGAAACGTAAACGTCTGACTCTGGAACATGTATTCTTTCTATTGATCCTTGTTTTCTTCTGAGACTCTGGTCAGAAGTTAGATGGCCAGGCATCTGTCTGGACGTGGATTAGGAATTCCTGCCTTGAGTAAGAGATTGGACCGAAGGACCTTTAAAATCCCTTCCAACTGTAAAGTTTTTATGTTATCCCAGCAAGTCAGTTTCTTCCTCATTCATCTGCATTAAGTTATCCCTTTTCCCCTAAAGATACTCCATGTTCTCCCCTCCATGTGCCAAACATTTCAGTGCCATTTTCTGTTGCTGGGTTGCAGGTTAGATGCTAAAAACTGCAAACGCATCAATCTTGGGGGAAGCCAAGCAGCTGGTTACCTCCAGCGCCTCCTTCAGCTGAAGTATCCTGGACACCTAGCAGCTATCACTCTCAGCCGCATGGAGGAGATCCTGCATGAGCACAGCTACATCGCTGAGGATTATGTAGAAGGTAAGCCTCAAGCAAAGGATGTTTACTTGAAGCTTTTGGATGTTGTCTGCTTTTGGGGTGTTCCTTCAGTTGTTATCAGGATGACACTTTGGCTTCTGTACTTTTCTGCTCTGTTTTTTAGCACCCCCTTCCTCTTTTGGTATGCATTTTCTTAACAAACTATTCATTACACTGATTATTTATTTTTGTGGGTTCCTTTTGCAAATGATAGCTTTTATAGCTTGCCAAAATACAGGACTTAGAATTGTACAACTTTCAACTTATTCCAGAAGGTAAACATTTTTAAGAGTGCCAGTATCTTGAGCAGACCATACTGGTTTAAAAATCAACTTTAAAGCAGTTGAAATTATTTCACTGCACTATTAATATAGAATTTTTGCTCTAGGAGCTTATTTTTTTCTTTTCAAGTTAGATCTTGAACTTTTGATTATATTCTCCATTAGTAATAATTACTGTAAGAATGATTACTATTGTTATCGCATAATGCAATGAAAATAATATTGTATTCCTCATAAATTTAAATAGTTCCAATAAAACCAAATTACTGTGAAAGTTCCACTGTGAATACAACTCCGTCCCACAGTACATGAGTGGATCTTCTGGTTGGCAATGAAGGTAGTGACTTCAACTCATTACTAGTGAGTTCCCGAAGGGCAAGAGCTGTGTCTTAATTCACTTCAGAACACATTTATTAATTGTCTCTGGTATTCCTGGGATACAGAGACGTTGGGGAGACAGACCTGGAAAGAAATAATTGGTGAGAACACTCCAGTCAGAGAGTTAAATGCTTGCCAGAAGACACACAGCTAATTAGCTCTCCTTGCTCCTGCTTCTCTGTTCTCACGGTGCTCTGGTATTGACTTTTCTTTGGTGCAGTGTATGAATTGTAACATATATATAGATTTATGTAGCCCCCACCACAGTTAGGACACAGAACATTCCAGCACCCCAAAAAAATTCTCTCATGCTGTTTATGGTCACATCTTCCCTTCACACCAACCAATCTCTTCTCCTCCACTGTGGTTTTGTCTTTTGGAGAATGTCACTTAAATGGAATCACCATATTGTATGTAACCTTTTGAAATTGTCTTCTTTCACTCAGTATAATGCCTTTTGAGATTCGTCCAAGTTGTTGTGTCTGTATTCATTCCTTTTTAGTACAGAGTAGTAGTTCCATTGTATGGATGTAGCACAATTTGTTTATCCATTCACCCATTGAGAGTCGTTTGAGTTGTTTCCAGTTTTGGGCAATTACAGATAGAGCTGCTGTAAAATTCATGTACAGGTTTTTGTGTGAACATGAGTTTTCATTTCTCCAGTGTAAATGGATTGCTGGGTCACATAGTAAGTGTATATTTAACTTTATAAGAAACTGCAGAGTTGTTTTGTGGAGTTACTTAATGTATGAGAGTTCCAGTTGCTCTATATCCTTGCTAGCGCTTGGTATTGTCAGTATTTTTTATGTAGCCCCTCTAATAGTTGGATAATGGTAGCTCACTGAGGTTTTAATTTCCATTTCCAATGGCTAATGATGTTGAACATCTGTCTTTTCAAGTGCTTATTTGCCTTCATTACATCTTCTTTGGTAAAGTGTCTGTTCAAGTCTTTCACCTATTTTTTACATAGATTGTTTTCTTACTGTTGAATTTTAATGTTCTTTATATATTATGGTTACAAGTCATTGTTGGCTATATGATTTACAGATACTTTCTCCGAGTCTGTTGACTCTCTTTTCTTGACAGTGTTTGTTGCACAACAAAAGTTTTTATTTTTGATGAAGTCTAATTTATCATTTTTATTTTATGGATCATGCATTTGTTGTCATGTCCAAGAACTCTTTGCCGAAACCCTAGATTTGAAAATTTTCTTCTGAAGTTTTTGTAGTTCTGTTTACATTGAGTTCTGTGATCCATTTTGAGTCCATTTTTATATAAGGTGTAAGGGTTAAGCCCTTAACTACTAACTCAATGCTTGGCAGTTTGAACCTATTGGTAGTTTGAGGTGCCTCAGAAGACAGGCCTGGTGATCTGCTTCTGAAAAGTCACAGCCTTGAAAACCCTGTGGAGCAATTCTACTCTGCATACATGGGGTCGTCATGAGTGGGAATCAATTCAACGGCAACTAACAGCAGTAAAGGGTTAGGTCATGGTTCTTTTTTTTTTGCACACATATGTCCAGTTTTACCATATCATTTGTTGAAAAGACTATTATGTTGGGAGACCCCAAGCCCACCCCCAGGTTCGATGATACTCTAGAAGGACTCACAGAACTCAGAAGCCATTATTCTCATGGTTATGGTTTATTACAGCAAAAGGCTACAAAGCAAAATCTGCAAAGGGAAAAGTTACAAGGTGCAAAGTCCAGACGAAACTAGACACACATTTCCAAGAGTCCTCTCCCAATGTAGTTGCACAGGACACACTTAATTCCTTTAGTAATGAATTGTAATACACATGAGAAATGTTGTCTGCCAGGTACACGCTCATTAGCAACTTAGGGCCCAAAGCTTTCACTGGGGGCTGGTCACATAGGCATCCTCTGCCTAGCACATACTAAAATTCCAGACTCCCAGAAGGAAGGCAGGTGTTCAGGATAAACCATATTGTTTGCACAAACAGTCTAGGCACAGGAACCCACCCTAACTATTTGGGAAAGTTTTATATCATGTAGGGAACTGTTAACGAGCCAAGTTCCCAGACACCAGCCAAGAGCCAGCCTTGCAAGCAGGTCTTTCTAAGGATAACAGTCTTACCTCTTTTCTGCACAGCTATTTTTTCTCTATTAAATTGACTTTGCATTTTTGACCAAAATCAGTTGGCTATATTTATGCAGGTCTAATTCTGGACTCTCTGTTCTGCTCCATTGATCTGTGTTTCTATTCCTTAGCCAATAATACACTGTCTTGGTTACTTTTGCTTTACAGTTAGTCTTAAAATTGGGTAGTGTGATTATTAACAATTTTGTTCTTTCTTTTCAGAATTCTTTTGACTCTTCTTGTTCCTTTGCCTTTCCATATAAATTTTAGGATCAGCTTGTCCATATCTACAAAAAAAAAAAAAACTGTTGGGATTGTGATTGGAATTACATTAAATTTGTGGATCAGTTTGGGGAGAATTGACATTTTTACTTGTTGAGACTTTTAATCCATATACACAGTATATTTAGGTCTTCTTTGATTTCTTGCATCAGCGTTTTATAGTTTCCAGTGTACACATCCTGTATGTGTTTTATTAGATTTATGCCTATTTCTTCTTTGTTGTTGTTACTTTTTTTTTGTAGCTATTGAAAATGGTATTGTTTTTTTCATTTCACTTGCCAGTTGCCCACTGCTAGTGTATAAATGCACGTAATTTGTATCATGTGACCTTGCTAAACTTACTTACGAGTTCTAGTTTTTGTAGATTCCTTGGGAATTTTTATGTAAACAATTATGTGATCTGTGAATAGGAACAGTTTTATTTCTTTCCAGTTGGTATGCCTAATTTCTTTTTCTTGCCTCATTTTACTGGCTGGGACTTCCAGTATGATGTTGAATAGGAGTGGTGATAGTGGATATCCTTGCCTAGTTCTCTATTCCTGATCTTGGGGATGTGGGGAGGGGAGCATTTAGTCTTTCGCTACTAAGTGTATGATGTCAGCTCTAGGTTTTTGTAGATGCCCTTTATCAAGTTGGGGAGGTTTCCTTTTATCCCTATTTCTACTGAGTTTTTATCATGAATGGATTTTGAATTTTGTGAAATGCTTTTTCTGCATTGTTTAATAAGATCATATAGTTTTTCTATTTTAGACTGTTCATATGGTAGATTGCAATGGTTGCTTTTCAAATATTAAACGAGCTTGGCATTCTTGGGATAAGCTCCACTTGTTCTTGTGTAGTATTTTTTTTTTTAATTTTTTTTATTGTACTTTAGATGAAGATTTACAGAATAAATAGTTTCTCATTAAACAGTCGGTACACATATTGTTTTATGACATTGGTTAACAACCCCATGACATGTCAACATTCTCCCTTCTTGACCTTGAGGACCTTTTTTTTGGTGAAAATATACATAGCCAAAGTTACACCATTTTGAAAGTTTCTACATGTACAATTTAGTGACATCGATTACATTCTTCCAGTTGTGCTGCTATTCTTACTATCCTTTTCCAAATTATTCCATCACCATTATCTTCAACTCACTGTCCCCTAGGCTTCTCATCAAACCTTTTGAGTTGCCGTTGTCAATTTGATCTCACCTAGATAATTCTTTTTTTTTTTTTTTGTACCTTAGATGAAGGTTTGCAGAACAAATATTTCTCATTAAAGTTAGTACACATATTGCCCTATGACAATGGTTAACAACCCCATGACATGTCAGCACTGTCCCTTCTCAACCTTGGGTTTCCTATCACCAGCTTTCCTGTCCCCTCCTGCCTTCTAGTCCTTGTCCCTGGACTGCTGTGCCTCATTAGTCCTGTTTTGTTTTATGAGGCTGTCTAGTCCCCGGCTGAATGGTGAACTTTGGAAGGGGCTTCACCACTGAGCTAAAAGGGTGTCCGGGGGCCATATTCTTGGGGTTTCTCCAGTCTGTCAGGCCAGTAAATATGGTCTTTTTTTTTTTGTGAGTTAGGATTCTGTTCTACATCCTTTTCCGGCTCTGTCCAGTACCCTCTATTGTGATCCTGGTCAGAGCAGTCAGTGGTGGTAGCCAGGCACCATTTACCTGTAGTGGACTCAGTCTTGTGGAGGCCCTGGTAGCTGTGGTCCATTAGTCCTTTGGACTAATCTTTTCCTTGTATCTTGTTCTCTTCATTCTCCCTTGCTTCCGAAGGGGTGAGACCAGTGGAGTAGCTTAGATGGCTGCTCACAGGCTTTGAAGACCCCAAACGCTACTCACCAAGGTAGAATGTAGAACATTGTCTTTGTCGACTGTGTTATGCCAATTGAGCTAGATGTTCCCTGAGACCATGGTCCCCACAGCCCTCCACCCAGCAATTCAGTCCCTCAGGGAATTTGGAAGTGTCTATGGAGCTTCCATGGCCTTTCCTTGTACAAGTCGTTCTGGCTTTCCCAGTAATGTGTACTGTCTTACCCTTCACCAAAGTTACCACTTACCTATTTAGTTCCCCCCCACTCCTGCCATCCCTCTAACCAACAAAGATTGTTTCTTTTTGAGTGTAACCTTTTACATGAGTTATACAGTAGAGATCTCATACAATATTTGTCCTTTTGTGATTGACTTATTTCACTCAGCATAATGTTCTCCAGTTTTGTTCCTCTTACTCTTAGTAGGTTTGTTAACTTTCTTTGTGGTTACCTTGAAATTATATCTTCCTAGATTTGAACCAGTCTGTTATTGCTTGGTATCGCTTGACTTCCTCTCCATTAGAAGGTTCTATACCTACACCGTTTATTCCCTCTTTTATTGTTCTGATGCTGTTGTCATTTACAGATTAACCTCTCTGTTTCCCTTTTATAGTTCTTTTGGTTTTGCATAGTCTTTAAAAATTCATTTCCTAGGTTGGTATCTGGCTAGTACAATCCTCGTCCTTTATTCAGCCTGTGGTCTAATATTGTTTGTTCTCAGATCGAAGGACTTCCTTTAATAAGTCTTGTAAGTTAGGTTTGGTTTTTACATAGTCCCTTAATTTCTGTTTATCTGGAAATGACCTAATTTCACCATCATATTTCAACGAGAGTTTTGCAGGATATATTATTCTTGGCTGGAAATTTTTTTCTTTCAAGGTTTTATATATGTCATCCCATTGCCTTCTTGCCTGCATGGTTTCTGCTGAAGAATCTGAGCTTAGTCTTATTGTTTCTCCTCTGTATGTGACTTTTTGTTTTTCTTGAGCTGCTCTCAGGATTCTTTGTTTGTCTTTGGTTTTAGTGAGTGTGATGATGGATATGCCTTGGTGATTTTCTTTTGGGATCTATCCTATATGGGGTTTGTTGAGCTTCTTGGATGGTCAGCTTTTCATCTTTCATGATGTTGGGGAAGTTTTCTGTCTGCAATTCTTCAGTGATCCTTTCTGTGCCTTCTGTTTTCTCCCCCTGTTCTGGAACTCCGATCACTCGCAGAGTTTTGCTTTTGATTGTATCCCACATAATTCTCAGGGTCTCTTAAATTTTTCTTCATTCTTTTTTCTGACTTTTCCTCAAACAGAGTTGTATCCAAGTGTTTGTCTTCAGTTCCGCTGTTCCTGTCTTCCACCATTTCAAATCTGCTCCTCAGCCCTTCTATGACACTGTCCATTTCTGAAATCTTGTTGTTTATCTTTTGGATTTCTAGTTGTTGTTTTTGTATAATTTCTAGTTGTGAATTTATTTTGACATTTTGTTCCTGCATTATTTTCCTGAATTCCTCTGTAGTATTTTTTTAATGCTGGATTCAACTTGCTTACATTTTGTGAGTGTTTTTGCATCTCTCTCTCTCTCTATATATATATACACATATATACGTATTCTTTAACCATTCTTACTCATTGTCGTCAAGTTGGTTCCAACTCATAGCAACTCTGTAGGACAGAGTAGAACTGCCCCATAGGATTTCCAAGGCTGTAATTTTTATGGAAGCAGACTGCCACATATTTCTCCCATGGAGCAGCTGGTGGGTTTCAACTGCCGAGGTTTTGGTTAGCAGCCAAGTGCTTAACTACTGTGCCACCAGGCTCCTTTGCGACTATATTCTTGAGGGATGTTGGTCTGTAGTTTTCTTTGTTTGGTTTTAGTGTCATGGTGATGCTGGTCTCATTAAATAATTTGGAAGTGTTTTCTGTTTTCTGAAAGAGATTATGAAGAACTGATGTTATTTCTTTTAAATATTTGGTTAAATTTTCCTATGAAACTGTCTGGTTTCTAGTTCAATTCCATTATGGTCAGAAAACTGATTTCAGTTCTTTTAAACTTGTTAAGGTTTGTTTTATGACCCAGGATGTGGTCTACTTTGCCAGAAGTTAGATATACCCTTGACAAGCATGTGGTTTCTGTTGTTGTTGCCTGAGCGCTCTGTAAATGTCACTTTGGCTCTGTTGGTTAATGGTGGTGTTCAGTTCTGTATCCTTGTTCAGTTTCTCTCTGCCAGCTCTGTTGATTAGTGAGAGGACCGTTTGAAGTCTCCAGGTATAATCGTGGATTTGCCTGTTTCTGCTTTCATTTCTGTCAGTTTTTGCCTGAAGCTCTGGTTTTAGGTGCATATTTAGGCTTCTTCCGTCTTATTGGTAAATTGACCCTTTTATCATTATGTAGTACCCCTCTTTGTCCCTGGTGATTTTCTTTGCTTCAAAGTTGACATTCTTTTGATGAGTGCTTGGCGTGGTATGTTTTTCCATCCTTTTAGTCTGCCTATATCATATTTGAAGTGAGTTTCTTATAAACAACAAGTAGTTTGGTCATTTTTAAAATCTACTCTGTTGATGTCTGTCTTTTAATTGATATGTTAAGACCTTTTACAATTAATATTATTCATATGGCTAGATTTAGGTCCACCATTTTATTTGTTTTCTGCATTTCTAGATGAATAATTTGTTTTGTGAGGATCAGCACAAAGCTGGTTCCTATGAGGCGGAGGTTAAAGATGTCCCAAATATCCAACTTTTCCAAACTGCTGTACCACCCCATCATCTCTAATATCAACTGCCCCTTCTTCCCTCAGCACTCTCCCTCCCATCTTTGGGTTCCCTAATTCACTGCAGCGTCTCACAGAACCTCTCACAGAACCGTATCAAGGAAATGGCTCATGCGGTTTTGGAGGCTGACAAATCCCAAATCCGTGTGTCAAGTGTAGACTTCTACTGACCTATGTGGCTGCAGGGGCTGGATTGGCAGGTCATACCCCAGGCTGCTGGCTCACAAGGCTGTGGAAGCTGGCAAACCAGGTCTGATGATAAAACTACTGGCCCACGGGGCTGCAGAGGCCAGCGAATCCCAGAATTGGCAGGTCAGATGGCAGGCCTCTGGCTCAAGTCCCAAGAGAGGTTAGACAATCACTAACTGAATGTGGGATCCAGATGCAGAAGAGAGAGGGAGGCCCTGCAGGGCACCTACATATATACCTTGGATGCAGGCCACATGCCAGGGAAGAGTGCAACTTGAGTAAAGGTGAGACTTGAGTCAAGCCCTCCTACAAGGCTGTGACTCAGGATACATCCCACACCAATCCTGCCCCATTAACATGTAGAGGTTAGATAAAATGGAGGACAACCATACAGTACTGGAAATCATGGCCTAACCAAGTTGACACATAACCCCAACCATCACAGGTTCCATGTACCTTGTTTGCATAGTCCCACTCAGTCATTGTGTGAGTCACAAAGACCATAGCTAGAAGGCCTATAATAAGTAATTCGTTGCACCGCAGCTTCTCTGTTTTTTATTTATCTGTTTCCCTTTCCTGCTTTTTTTTTTTGAACTTTGTTTTCTTTTTTCTGGTATTCCATTTTAATTTACCTATTGTGTTTTTACTGTATTTCTGCGTAGGTTTTTTTAGGGTTGCTCTAGGGGTTTCAGAAAACATGCTTAACTTTTCACAGTCTGCTTAGAATCAATGTTTTACGACTTCAAGTGGAATGTAGAAGTGCTAGCACTATCTAGGCTCCTTTATGTTATAGTTGTCTTATGTATTACGTTTTCATACACTGAAAATCCCATCAGACACTGTTATAATTTTTGCTTTCAATTGTGAAACATATTTTAAAAAACTCGAGCGGATAAGACAAGTCTATTGCTTTTAACCAGATTTTATCATTTCTATTGCTCCTACTTCATTCCTGATCTTCCAAGTTTCCTTTTGGTGTCATTTCTCATCTGGCTGAAGAACTTTGTTTAGCAGTTTTTCCGAGTGGGTCTGCTGCCATTATGTCCAGATTACGTGGCTGCATTCAGTTAAAGAGAGAAGGTGGAGTGTGCTTTCTCCATCTTACCTGGAACTGGACCCCCGGTCTTGATTTTTAAATTTCTGCATTAGGAGTGTTTTCATTTCATAACTTCCAAAATTATTTCCTTGAAGAATTGCAGAAATGGCGGTGCCCTGATTATTATGAGAACAATGTCCACAAGATGCAGCTCCCATTTTCCAGCAAGCTTCTCGGCAGCACTCTGACCTCTGAGGAGAAGCAGGAAAGGCGGCAGCAGCAGCTGCGGCGACTGCAGGAGCTCAATGCCCGTCGACGGGAGGAGAAGCTACAGCTCGACCAGGAGCGGCTGGACAGACTGCTCTACGTGCAAGTAAGAACAGATGCCGGCTGGGTCCTCAGCCTTGCTCAACACAGTGGTCCCAGAAAATTTTCTTGCTACGTTTTCTCCTGCAACCTCAAAATTTATTGGCCTCCTAAGTCATCCTTGGGGTCAGGAAGGAGTCTAGGTGAATCAGCAGTATAGACATTTTGAAAGTAGAGTATGGTAGCAGGTGTTTCTGAGAGAGCTCTGGACTCTGGCTTTATTAATTTGTTTATTTATTTTTGCCCTATAATCTCCTTTATTATATATATTTTTTAACTTTCTAATGTACGTAAGTATGGCACACATGATGCAAAGGGCACAAATCTTAAGTGTACAGTTTGGTGAATTTTCACAAAGTGGATACAGCCATGTATCTGCCATCCAGTTCCTGAATATTGCCAGAAGCCTCCTTCATGTCTCCTCTCAGTAACTCTCCCACCTGCCCCTATCCAAAAAGCAATGTTTCTGACATCTGTCACCATAGATTAGTTTTGCCCAACTGGGTGGTGCTGGAACGGTGAAATAGTGTTGTCCTAGAGAGAGTTGGAGAGGAGGGCAGCTCTGTGGAACTGCAGTGGGAGATGGAGGTGGGATTTTGTGGAGGTAGGTGAGCTCTGGAGCCCTCTCCTGTGACACTTCTTCTGTCTTTGAGTTTTAAGCCACTTCTCTTCCCTTTGCGTATGATTGCAGTGTTTGTCTTTGTGGGTGACTTGTGACTGCTCTGGTTTCAGGAACTTCTAGAGGATGGCCAGATGGATCAGTTTCACAAAGCCCTGATAGAGCTGAATATGGACTCCCCAGAAGAGCTGCAGTCCTACATACAAAAGCTCAGCTCAGCAGTGGAGCAAGCTAAACAGAAAATCCTTCAAGCAGAAGTCACCCTTGAGGTGGATGTGGTAGACAGCAAGCCAGAGGTAACGGAGGGCCCTCCCTTGGGTGCCACAGGGTCATTTAGAGAGAACAGCCCTTCCTTAGGGGTTGGAGGAGGATCTTGAGAAGGCTGACATCAAGGGGTTGTGACCAGACTTGGAGAAAAAGAGAGCAGTGTGATTAATGATGTCGTGGGGACATGGGTGGGGACAGGGATGGCACTGACCTTGTATCAGCTGACACTCTGACAGGAGGAATTTCGCCTTGTAGTTCTCTGGCCCTGCATTTGGGAGGGCAGGTGTGTGCGTGGAGTAGGAAGAGCATTCACACACCGGTCATGTGGTCCTGTCTCGAACCTGAACCTGCTCCTCTGATGGTTATTTGTCAGTTAGTCACATACTCCCATTAGCTGGCTTCGGATGTTTTACTAAATTGATTGTGGTTAATCTTTCACTTACTTCCTTTCCATCTTGATGTTCCCTAAGGGATCATGCTCCATACATAGCTTCTGAATTTTTTTACAGCAACTAATTGTTGTTGTTAGTTACCATTGAGAATGAAACATTGCCCAGGCCTGTGCCATCTTCACCATCATTGGTATGCTGAAGTACGTTGTTGTGGCCACGGTGTATTTTGAGTGCCTTCAACCTAGGAGATTCCTACTCCAGCACTATATCAGGCAGTATTCTGTTGTGATCCACAGGGTTTTCATTGGCTATTTTTTTGAACCGGAGCGCCAGGCCTTTCTTCCTAGTCCGTCTTAGTCTAGAAGCTCCACTGAAACCTGTCCATCATGGGTGACCTGGCTGGTGTTTGAAATACCAGTGGCAGAGCTTCCAGCATCACAGCAACACGTAAGCCACCACAGTACAACAGACTGGTAGTCAGGTGGTGGACAGCACCTGATAGGCTTGTTCATTGCCTTGTGACACTTTAGAGGCAAGATTAACCAATATAGCTTGTTGTTTTTTTTGTTTTTTAGCTCAACTTTCTTTAAATTTTTAATTATCCATGCTTTTGGAAAGGAACAACACTGTGGAAGAATCCAAGTCAGTGCTGTTTGATGCTAGGAGTGTTGTGGGGCTTCTCGGTGATTTCTGAGCTATCTTTGGCTCAGCCTGAAGCTCACTTTTGCAGTGACTGTCTCGTAGCTACAGGCTCACTCTTGTAGCTTCTGCTCTAGCCTTCCGTCCTCTGGCGCTTTGCCAGGCTGTAGATTATATGCAGACAGTGACTGGCTGTGAGCACACGTGTTTTATAGAGCAGATCCTGAGGCACGCTTACCAGGTCCAGCTTCCTGGATCACTGCCATCTTGGCAGAAGGAGCCTTTACTACCACTTTTCTCCCCCACAGCATCTCAGATTAGCTTTGGTTATCTAGTATCCCTTTTCTAGTCTGCTTCTCTCAGTGTGTGTTTCAGATGTGAACTGTTGTTTACTGGGATCCAGAACCATGTTGTCTTTGTTGTTCATTCATCCACATTTAGTTTTTATCATGTTTAACGTGTCACTGTCAATAGGACACCAGCATCTTTATACCAGAGATGTACCACTAAGCCACATGCAGGAGAGAGATTTCAGATTTGAACAAACAACTGTAGGGATGTGACTGGGGAGCCGCTGGGGAATTAGTTTTTCCTATTCTCTGTCCATTTTTTCTGCATTACATACTGTGATTCAGCCACTCATTCATTCAGCAGGTACTAACTAAGTACCTACGTTGTTCTGTGCTCTAGGGACACATATTCAAACATCCCCAAGCTTGGGGAGATTTGAAAATATTGGACTACAAAAGGTTTCTCTACATACAATAAAAAATCTGATGAACTGATTTGTCACCAAAGCTTTAGTGGTCAGTTAACATTTATTGAGGGTGATTGTTAGTGATTAAAGTCAATTCCGTTAACATTCTTGGAATAAATTTGACCATGACACTGGCCAGCCACTTCTACCTTTCAAGAAGTGTTTACAGTGTTTTCCAACAATAGAATTCATTGGAACAAAGAGAATAAATTTATATGGGCCAGAATTCATTTTAAAATGCCATTTAAGCAGTAATGGCTGAGTTGGATTAATATAGCTAAATTTTTAAACTTATAGTATTTTGTAAAATCCATTTTTTCCTAAAGATCAATCTTTTCTAGCCGTTGCCATTCTGCAAGTAATCCTACTAGGATGTTGTAAAAGACGGCTTTGTTACCACTCGTAACGAAACATTTACAACTAGAAGATGCTTACTTTCCATGACTATAAACACAGCACAAGTGTGTATTGCTGGGGGAGGGACGCAGTTTTAGAACTAACCATCGTTTGTTAGAAAACACAACGGGCCAAATATAGAACATTCTTTTACTTGAGTAGCCAAGATCAGAGTTGGTCTCTGCTTGTTTTTATGTTACTTGAGGCTGTTCCAGGGACCCATACTACATCTTCTCTGATGTGCTTTGGCAAGCTGTTCTTCTGTTCGGTTCCAAAAGAACAGTCATATTTGTGGTTCTGAATGCCACACAATTATGTGGATACCCTGGCAAACCCTAGAGGGAGAGAAGCCAGCAGGGTTAGAGAAATCTGTTCCCTATCAGACGCCTATTCTCTGCATTGAAATTACTAGCTTTGTTCCTCTCTGTGAATCATATGAATTGGGATAAAATTTTTTTTTTTACCATTCAAGTTGTTGTTGTTAGGTGCCATCAAGTCAATTTCAACTCACAGCGTCTTCACGTGACAGTGTGGAACTGCCCCATAGGGTTTTCTAGGCTGTAATCTTTACAGAGCAGATCACCAGGTCTTTCTCCTGCAGAACCACTGGATGGGTTCAATCCGCCAACCTTTTAGTTAGTAGCTGAGCACTTAAGCATTGCACCACCAAGGTTCAGTGACATGCTTGTGACTATAGCTTGATGAAGGTGGATGGTGATATTTTACTGCAGCTGAAGAAGCTCTTTGAAACCCCTGTGTTTTACAATCTTCTGTATTCCAGAGCGATTTGAGGGTGTGTCCCAGGGGCCTACCACTCAGTGCCAGGCATGGTATGCCAGAGACCAGGGATGCAGAGGTAATTAAGATACAGTGCTTGCCCTCCTGGGTGGTTCAGAAAGAATAGATGCTAGTCCCATAGTTAGCTGACAGTAATAAAGTATGTCAGGCATGGTGGTCTATGTGTGTGGAACCTAGACAGATTTTTGAGAAACGACTGGGACATTTGAGCTGGGCCCTGAAAGAGTATTAGGATTTCAACAGGCAACAAATAAGGAGGAGGAATGTTTTTGATGGAAGGAGCCGCATGTGCAGGGAGCATGGCATATGTGGTATACAGCGTGTGGGCAAGAGGGGCCATGATGGGAGACGAAGTGGGGAAGGGAGGCAGAGGCCAGGCTCTAAAGGTCTTTATCAAGTAGATGTACAGACATACAGAACCTTCAAAGTATGTTGAGCCAGGAAATCAAAGGATAAGATTTTATTTTAGGAAAATAACCAGTGGCAGTTAGGAGGATGGGCTGTAGGGAGAGATGAGGCTAGAGGTGGGAAGACAGGATAGAAACATAGTATTTCAGAAGAGAGCTGAAATTTGCCATGTTTATGGGGATGGAGGGTGGGTACTCAAGAAGTAGGATCTAAAGATCTGGGTGCCATTCAGAAGCAGAGGTGACAGCAGTGGCACTGACTGATGACAGTAGAGCACATGACATGTGCCCGACTGTGCTGAGCACTTCTGCCGGCATTGTCCTGATTCATTGTCACAACTCCATGAATAGGTGCTATCGTTGTTCCCATGTTACAAATAAGGAGACAGGAGTGAAGAAACATGCCTAAAATCTCACAGCTGCAAGTAGTACAGCTGAGATGCAAACACAAGCAATCCATTCCATAGTCCACGCTTTTAACACTTAGGCTATCCCGAAAGGCAGGGGTGGGTGATGCCTTTGACCAAGTTTGGAAAGCTTATGAGATCAGTTTTGAGCACCTTATCTTTAAAGTCTCTGTGGGACATCAGGTAGAACTCTCTAGGGCCCAGGTATGGGAGGACATAGAATCACATGGGGAAAACATGGGGAGTGAGAAAAGCAGAATGCCTGGGGTATGCCACCACTTAGGAGGTGATGGAAGAGGAAAAGCAAGACAAGAGACTGAGAAAAAGCAATCAGAGAAGAGAGAAGCCAGAAAGCGTTGATGGGAGAGTTTGAAGAGCCTGAGTGGTGAGCTTAACCTAGGATAGAAGATGGTGTGCCTCATTCTTTGAGACAAGGAAGGGTGAAAGGACAAGAAAAAAGATGAGGTGGAATGGAGAGTAAATAGGGGAGTTTGTTCTTTGAAGCAGTGAAAGTGATCTGCTGAGAATCCCGGGATTAAGACAGAAGGTGGTTGAGGAGAAGAGTGTTGAAGAGGTTTAAGGCAACTGCTGTGGGGAATGGGAAGGGAAGCTGAAGGGTAACAAAAGGATTGCCTAGTAGCAACCCAGGGCTTCCTCCTCTCCTGCCCCACTGGAAGCATACATTGTCCACTTCTCTACAGCCATGTAACTAAGCCGTCAAGTGGACTGTGACTCATGGTGACTCCACGTGTGTTAGAGGAGAATTGTGCTCCATAGGGTTTTCAATGGCTGTGACCTTTTGGAAGTAGATCACCAGGGTTGAGGGATGGTGGCAGTTGTGATTGGACTCTAGGTTGGATAGAGAAAGGTACAAATCCACATGAAAGGTCCTCACTTGGAGGTGAGGGAGGTCAGAGGAGTGGAGGTTGGGATGAAGATGGAGAGTAAAGGTGGTGAGACAGGTGGGGAGTAGAGAGGCAGATAGGAGGGACCTCAGTGGAGCCCAGTGCTTGCCTTCACCCGTTATTATTTGCAGGGTGGTCTCAGGCTAGGAGTCTTCTGTATCATAAACGGCAGACGGCGTAGGAATGCTTCTTGAGACGCTGTCACTGCCCTGTCTGGCCAGAGGAGCCTGTCGCTCCCTTGAGCTGGTTTTGCTGCCGCATGTAAGGTCTTTCATTCGTCTCTTGTATTACCCACCCTGAGCTTGGCCTAGATCTTTTCAATACTGCTAAAGCCCCAACTGTCCTGTCACTCTCAGACTCGCAGTTTATAGAAGTTCAGGTAAAGCAGAGCAGAGACTTTGGAGCTAAGCAGTTTTGTCTCAGGCAAGTTCCCCCTACTCACTAGTGTGATGTAACCTTAGGCAAGATACTTAACCCTCCTGAGCCACAGCTTCCTCAGCCATGAAATATCGGATACTATCTGTAGCGAGGACTTGGGGGTGGAGAGAGCATTGCAAATGGCAGGCGTCCCTGCCCCTGAATCTGATTCAGTATTGGCCAAGATGACTTCCGCCTTCTTGACTGAGAAGGAGATCCTTTTGATTCTTACCCCCTGACTCATCTTCTTTTCTCCTTTAATTACCTGCTTCTAAACCAGTCCCTCTCATTTTGTCGTTCAGTCTCAGATAAGGAAATACTCCCCTTCCTTTCCAGGGCTTACCCTCAAGCCTGGAAAATTCCCCATAAATATGGTAGAATCATCTATATTGGATAGAAATTAGAATGCATTGTCCCCCATTCATGCCACACATGCCATGCGACTTTTGTGGAGGTGAAGGCGGGCATTGAGGGTCATTGCCTTGTTTAAAAGTGAGTCTGGGAAAAAAAAAGGGAGTTTGAATGCTTGTTTACATCTGTAGTATATATACTACAGGTTCTAGAGAAGTATATTTAAATTCTCTGAATTGCATTGGTAATCCACATACTTCATAGATTCCCAGAGTAAGGAGGGACTCAGAGAATGCGTACTCAATGTAGGCATGTCCTCCCAAGCATGCTTGACTGTTGGTTCCTGAGTCTGCTTGAATCCTCCTAAGGCAGCACCTTGTGAGACAGTCCATTCTACAGCAGCTGTCATTGTTAGGAGATTAACAAAATATTTCTCCCTGTGACTTCACCCCTTTGAGTCCAGAAAGGTAAGACTCATCTGCCCTTCTCATGGCAGAATGACAGATGGCTGAAGATGTCATTCAGAATACCCTTCCCCTGCACAACTTCTTTCGTGCAGATGAAAATTAAAATAAAAATGCCCTAAGCCCTCTACGGGGAATGATGCCAGCATTTCTAGGCCCCACCCAGGCTCATTTTGGTCGATGAGGATTGCCTGTTCAGTAGGCAGGTAGGATGCCACAGAGAGGAAGCACTCAGCCCCCTTGGGGCCCTTAGTCTCATTCCCAGCCCAGTGGGACCTGTTCTTAAGGGACCTGATTGTTAAGCCCATCAGTGTTGGCACAAATATTTATTAATTATTAAGGGATCTATTTGATTTTGCTCTTAGTCTAAGCTATTTTGCAGGATACCAGCTATCAAACCGTTTCCCCCCAGAGTTCTGAGTGAGGTTGGGGGGATAATACATGCAGTGAGTTTCCACTGGGCCCCAGCCGGGAGCTGGCACCTTTGGAAGGCTTCAGAGAGAGAAGGTGGGAGTTTATGAGGCTTGTATAGGTAGGAAATGGCAGAGATTAAAAGCAAAGCCCATTCCTGGCTGTTTAGTCTTTTAATCCTTGTGTTCATATGTGTTCTTTTTTTTTTAATAGCTTAGAAGATTTTTCATAGATTTTGTGTAAACTTTTAGAACACTGGTCAAGATCCCAATTCTTTTTCATGACTCTGAACTAACAGAACTAAGGCTCACTGAAGTCACAGGTTCAGTTTTGTTTTGTTTGTTCATAGACCGCTGACCTGGAGCAGCTGGAGCCATCCCTGGAAGACGTGGAAAGCATGCATGATTTTGAGCCCTTGTTTTCAGAGGAGACACCTGAAGTGGAGAAGCCAGTTACCACTGTCCAGGTTTGTCTCCTGTAGCCCAGACCGAGCTTTTGTGTTGAAACATTTGCCACAAATGACCAGACTAGTCAAGGAAGATTAAAAAAAAAGCTCAGTTGTATTTTCTAGAAAAAGGGATACTGATACGTAAAACATCTGAAGTCAGAGTTTTTTTTCCCGGTGATTGACACCAAGATCTGTGAATCTGTGAGAAACGTTCTTCCTGGCAGGGACATTTGGGCAATGAATTGAGAACTTTAGACCCCAAAAGTGGCTTTTAGTGGTTTCATTTAAAGCTTAAGCCAATGTTATTATGCTTAATTCTCACTTGGGCCTATGTTACTGTCATTACAATAGCAGCCAGATAAATGGATCTGAGTCTGAGCCACACCTGGGTAAATGCTCTCTTGGCTGGGGAGGGTCAGTGGTACAAAGGCAGGCACTGGGCGGGCAGAGTTGGGCTTCCACTGCTCGGCCTCTTACCTGCTGATGTCCACAAAGTGTCTTTCCCTGCAACTCCAGGGCCATTTTTCATGATGCACATTCGGAGGTCTGTAATTCTGAGGTTGAAAGGAGGCAGAAAACCGGATTATCAAATCAGGAGAGTGGGGGAAGGCTCTTCTGGCATGAACAAAGGACAAGAGCTAGATTGAAATAAGAAATGCAGTTTGAGGAAACTGGCAACTGGTATGTTTGTCATTATGGCCTAAAAATATCTTCTAAACCTTGGGTTTTTAAAGCCCGTGTTTAACTTGGCAGCATATCATCAGCTGTATGTTGGAACGGAAAGAATTCGAGCTCCAGAAATTATTTTCCAGCCATCTCTCATAGGAGAAGAGCAGGCTGGGATAGCAGAGACTCTCCAGTACATTCTGGACAGGTGAGACTGCAAAACTTCATCTCCTTAGATTTTCCTGAACCCTTTTATTGGATTTCATACTGAATGGTAGATTTGATGGTTGGGCACTTTGGAAGTCTGCCTGTCTTGCTCCTTTTGATTGATGTGCTGTGCTCAGATAGTATTCTTTCATCTCCAGCCCAGGCCTGGCACATAGCTGGGACTTTGTCATTCTTTTCTGAACACGCAAATGCTCAGTTGATTTGAGGAACTTCCGCACTTTCTTATACGTGTGAGCTAGATGATAATATGTGTGCACTGGCTTTTATATAAATTTTACATTATTAAAGACTAAAAATACACAGAGTTTCTAAAAGTTTTTTTCCCTTCTTGCTGACATGTTATTTATTAAGAGCTTGCATCTCTATAACAATGTTCTTCTCCCCCCTCTCATTTATAGAGGCATTTTCCTGCAGTGGACAGGAAAATGATTTAAAAAGTTGGACAAGTAGGGAACATGATTTCTAGTACACTGGCTGCTCTTGGTTATAACAGGATTGTTATAACCAACAGCACGTAGCAAGGAGAAAAAACGATTACAGCTACTTTTTTTGAGTGGCTTTGAGCTTTGTGTTAACAGTGGGTGGAAAAATGATCAAACGTGGATGAGATAAAGAAACACACATAGATGCTTAAGAAACACACATAGATGAGGGATGGGCCCTCAAAAGGGAGGCAGGACTTTTGGGGTGGGGAAAGTATTCTGTACCTTGATTGTGGTATTGGTTACTGGGGATATAAATTTGCCAAACTTTATTAAAATGTATGTAAATTAATCCTCCATAAAGTTGATTAAAAAAAAAATGTATAAGAAAGGGCAAAAGTTCTAATCATGTTACAGAAATGAGTTGAACGTTCAAATTTAGGTTTTTGACTAGCTATTTGGAAACGCTTGGCTGGCATTCTGTAAAAACATACAGGAAAAATGAACATTTTTTTTTTTAACTTGTTGTTTAGATGTTTTATATTTTGTACTTCCAAAACACAAAAGACCGGACTTGTTGCCGTTGAGTCAATTCCAACTCATAGGTTACATTTTCACATCTACATTCTTGTTTTAATATTCAAGTTGGAGGGACTAGACCAGAAATGGTTTCTCTCCTAGGTATCCAAAGGATGTCCAGGAGACACTGGTTCAGAATGTTTTTCTCACTGGCGGGAACACAATGTATCCTGGGATGAAAGCCAGGATTGAGAAGGAGCTGTTGGGGATGAGGCCCTTCCGGTCTTCTTTTCAGGTACTGATTAGCCGTGTAGCTGACTGTTTGGAAAATAGCATTAATTATTTGTTTTCTGATTGCAAAAGTAATAAAGCGTAAATAAACAATAAAGTGCAAATGCAAAAATCATAATTTTGTCATCCAGAGATATGCTATTAATATTTTTATGGCTTTCTCTCTGGTCTTTAGTCTGTGTTTAACTTTAAAGCAGAATTGGAACTTGTTTTATGTACTTCTTTCTGCCCTATCCTTAATATATATTCCTTTCTAGACCCCCCTTGCTTAGGGCAGGGACAATGAGTGTCTTATGAACGGTTGTGTTCTAAGCCCTTGGCACAGGGTCAGTTACTTGGTCACTATGCAGGTTATATGAAGGCAGTGCAGAGGGAGAGGAGAGGAGGGGTTTGATATGATAGAGATTAAGGGAGTAAAATTGTCAGGACTTGGTAATAGATTGAATATCAGGACAGAAGTGGGACATAAGACATAAACTTCCAAGTTCTAGGTTGGACAACTGGTTTGATAAATACCGATCTTTATTTGTTGGCGAGTGAACATCTGCGAATGATAACATCAGCAAATTACATGCTGCAACACTGTATGTAGTATGTATGACTAATGATAAGATGTACCAAAAAAAAAAAAAGATGGTCGTAAGTGTGGATCGTTGTAACTCAAATATGTTGTTAAGTTGAAGACTGCCTGTATTCATTTGCAAATTTTCCAGTCATCTTTAACAGAAACTCAGCATCCCCTAAAGCAATGAGTTCCCTTCTCCTCCTACCCATCTGCTGTTGGTAACCACTAATAAACTTTGGTCTCTGTACACTTGCCTATCCTAGATATTTAAGTGGAGTATTTGTTCCTTTGTGATTGACTTATTTGACTCATCGTAATGTTTTCAAGGTTCGTCCATGTTGTAGCATGTATTAGGACTTCATTTTTCTTTATGGTTAAGTAATATTTCATTGTATGTTTGTACCACATTCTATTTATCCATTCGTCTGTTGATGAAGTTAGGCTTTTGGCTATTCTGAATAATACATCAGTGAACATTGGTGTACAAATATCTGTTGACATTTCTGTTTTCAGTTCTTTTGAGTATATGCCTAGGAGTGGTGTTGTTGGATTGTATGATGATTCTATGTTTAACTTTTTGAGGAATGCCAAACTGTTTTCCACAGTGGTTGTACGATTTTACAGTCCCACCAGCAATGGATGAGGGTTTCAATTTCTCCACATCCTTGCCAACACCTTTTTTCTGTTTTTCTTTTTTTTAAATCATAGCCATTTTAGTGGATATGAAATTATATCTCACTGTGGTTTTGATTTGCGTCTCCCTAATGGCTAATGAAGAGTCCTGGTGGCTCAATGGTTCTGCACTTGGCTACTAACTGAAAGGTCAGCAGTTCTAATCCACCAGACACTCTGTGGGAGAAAGATGTGAAAGTCTACTTCCATAAAGATTGCAGCCTTGGAAACCCAATGAGGCAGTTCTGCTGTCTTCTTTGGGGTCGTTATGAGTTGGAATCAACTGACAGCAGTGGGTTTGAGTTAATGGCTAATGAGGAGTCCTGGTGGCACAATTGTTAAGCGCTTGGCTGCTAACCGAAAGGTTAGTGGTTTGAATCCACCCACCACTCTGCAGAAGGAAAGACCTGGCAACCTGCTCCCATAAAGATTACAGCCTAGAAAACTCTATGGGGCAGTTCTGCTCTGTCCTGTAGGGTCGCTGTGAAGTGGAATCTAGATGGCACACAACAACGACAATGGCTAATGACGTTGAGCATCTTTTCATGTGCTTGTTGGCCATTCGTATTTCTTCTTTGGTGCAGTGTCTATTCAAGTTGAAAGCATCCTTTTTTAAAATGGCTATTTAGTATTCCATCGTTAAACATATATCTTATTGTACTTTTTATTAATAATAATGATAACTACCGTTGTTGAATATTTACCCTGTCCCTAGCAGTCTGCCAGACGCTTTGCAGTCATTCTCACTTATTCCTCCTAAGGCAGAGCTGTGGGGTCCCTTGTTCTCCTCATTTTGTTGGTGGGAAATGATTCCCAGAGAGGATGAGTCAGGTCCCTGTAGAGAAGTCACTTGCCTGTGTGGGAGCCCAGGCAGTCCGACTCCTGTGCATGCACCTTCATCTCCTTCATCCCCGCTCCGCCTGTGCATGCTAATTCCGCATTGTATCACTTACTTAGGGGAGTTCTGAAGCCACCGTTCCAGGTTGGAATGGGAAAGGGAAGTGAGAGGAAGAGGGGAGATGCAGACTCCGAGAACCCAAGAAGCCCTATTTGAGCTACAGTGTTAGCCTGAATGGGTAGGCCAGCCTAGATGAGGGGCATGCAGACCTGCTGACCCCCAGGATAATAAGGAATGGAAAGTAAGCATTGTTGACATCACAAAGAGCTCCCTAGGCCATCCCTCCCCGCTCTCGTTTCTTCTGAGACTCGTTCGCCACTATGACGAGAGCCATCTTGAATCAGCCTCTGCTTCCCTCCGCCTCAGAGAGGTCAGCAGGGCCAACAGGGCCTTTCCTCCTTGCCCTGTACCTAGCCTCTGTGTACTGTCTCCACCTGACAACTTGTGGTTGACAGCAGCATGGAGAGGAAGCTGGGCAGCTGGTCCCCTGTCCAACCCAAGGTGGCAGGTCTTGTGTTCTTAAAATATCTGACAATCATGTATTCTGTGAGGCCGTTTCTGATGTGCTTTACATTCTTTTGTGCTGTTTTGGGGAGTTTGACATTTTAGCTCAGCTTTGCTTGGAGGTACAGAGGTAGTCCTGCACCGCCTGAGAATTAAGTGGGCTCCTCCTATTTGTAAATCTCTGGGGATAAAACATAGGATGTAGCTGGGCCTGCTGAATACACACTCCCTCATGAGCATGGAGCCCTGATGGGAGATGCCCACTGGTGAATGTTCCCTTCATGTTGCAGGTCCAGCTTGCTTCTAACCCTGTGCTGGACGCCTGGTATGGTGCTCGTGACTGGGCCTTGGACCACCTAGACAGCGATGAAGTCTGGGTCACCAGGAAAGAATATGAAGAAAAGGGAGGAGAGTACCTCAAGGAGCACTGTGCTTCCAACATCTACGTCCCCATCCACCTGCCAAAACAGGCTTCGCGTTCCTCGGACGCCCAGGCATCTGGCAAGGGCACAGGGGCCAGTGGAAGTGGTGCTGGTGAGCATGCTTAGCAGAAGGCCTCTCCAGAGAGACTGCCCTGCACTCGATGTCCTTGGGTCATGCTGGCCAGTGTGACACAGAAGTGACTGTGCTAGAGGATTCCAGCGAGTCTGGTGGTAACAGTTGACTGTGAAATGGATTTCTCCTGGGGAGAATGGAGTTAAAGGCACACTGGGAGCTACCCATTAGAATTGTGTTCATTTAGGGACTTGTGCGACGAAGAAACTTTAGGTGACCTCATGGTGTCTTTGTGGAACCGTGGATAAGCTGTGGCATCCGCTTTCCAGCAGCTTCCTGCAGCAGTAAACGAGGACAAGGAGGAAGACAGAGATGTACAGAATGTACAAGACTTATTTCTTGCTGCATTTTGAAGCCTTTTTTTATTAAGATTTATATTGTGAGTGTAGATACTTTATTCTGCTAAATTTGTTCAGAAATTGTGTGAATGCCCAGCAGGGGGAGGTCTTTCATCTATATAAAAAGGTAATGTTTATGTAATAAAAACAATCACCCATGGAATCTCAGGAGCTGGAAATAGTTCCCTCCTCTCTTTGTTTTCCTTACAAATAAAGATAAGAGGCCCCAGGAAGATAACCAACATATCCAAAGTCCCTCTGATGTTAAGCGCTGCTTGTTGCCTACGTCTGAATGGGTAGAAATGGGACTAGCAGCCCAGCTTATGCTCAGCTCAGGTGTGTATGCTGGAAACTTACCATTGTACGAGGCTGTCTTAGTTATCTAGTGCAGCTATAACAAATACCGCAAGTGGATGGCTTTAATAAAAAGTTTATTTTCTCACAGTCTAGGAGGCTAGAAGTCCGAATTCAGGGTGCCGGCTCCAGGGTAAGGCTTTTTCTCTTTCGGCTCTGGGAGAAGTTCCTTGTCATCAATCTTCTAGTCTAGGAGCTTCTCAGCGCAGAAACCCCAGGTCCAAAGGACGCACTCTGCTCCTGGTGCTGCTTTCTTGGTGGTATGAGGTCCCCAGTCTGTGCTCGCTTGTCTCTTTTATACCTCAAAAGACATTGATGTAAGACCTAATCTTGTAGATTGAGTCCTGCCTCATTAACATAACTGCTTCTAATCCTGCCTCATTAACATCATAGAGGTAGGATCTACAACACATAGGAAAATCACATCAGATGACAAAATGGTGGACAATCACAATACTGGGAATCATGGCCTAGCCAAGTTGACAGATATTTTGGGGGGACACAATTCAATCCATAACAGAGGCCTTCCTGCAGATATTTTTGTCCCCTTGAGTTTGTTGGCTGCTTAATATTTTTAGGCCTTTCTGAAGAAATGGAACCTGGTAGTGCAATGGTTATGAGTTATGGCTGCTAACCAAAATGTCAACAGTTCAAATCCACTAGCCTCCTTGGAAACCCTATTGGGGCAGTTCTGCTCTGTTCTGTAGGATCGCTATGAGTCGGAATCAACTTGGCAGCAACAGGTTTGGTTTTTGAAGAAAGAGACTGGAAAAAAGTTAATCATGCAGCCTTTTCAGTTTTGCCCTAACCTCACATTCCCTGTACCCTCACAGTTTCGTCTGAAATGGACAATAACCCCTCTCTTTTACAGAGATTGCTCACTGAGACTTTTATCTCTTCAACACACCCAAGAACTGAACCCAGAAGGCCCCCTTAGTCACTAATTTCATACCACAGAATCCACACACGTAAATCCTATGGAGCCTCCCATCCACCCCTCTGATGAGGCCACCACAGAACCTGTTTGCTCATACAATTTACCAAGGGTAGTCATCTGTATTTCCAGCTCTCGAGAGCTTAGAAACTGCAGACGAGAAAGGGGCAGTGGTAGTGGCGGAGAAAGTAGAAGACTTAAGTGAATGCAAGAACTCATGAGATGGTGATAGGCCTGAGCTACTAAGAAAGAGTAGATGTGAAGACGGCAGGGCCAACATCCACATGACAGAGGTTTCCCTATCACAGTTCCAGGAAGAGGGACGTTACTAACTGCTGTCAGAGGCCTGGCGGTCTTTCTCCCACAGTGAGCAGATCAAACAGGCTGAACAGGAGGGGTGGCAGAGATAAGATCAAAAGACTGTTGTGGCAATCAGGCCATTACCAGTCTTGACTGCAGCGTGATTGAGGGGGTGTGATGGGGAAGGACCCTGGGGTGGGCAGGTAAGATGGGATACTGCATGGCCGAACAAGCTTGAAGCTGGACCTACTCAGGGTTCTCTGTAGGCTGGAACTGCAGGAGACGCTAAGGGGCTGTGGTGAGAGACAGGCTGAGGGGCTGAGCCTTGAGCTCACCTGTTTCACCTCTCACCCCTCACATGAAGCATGCTATGACCTTCAGTGACCACCTCTGCATGTGCAGTTCTCCTTAGGGGATCCTACTGATCCTTTAGTGCACTCACGAGGATTTGTTACTCTCAGGGCCCCTCAGCACCTGCCACAAACCACCAGCAGAGCACTCACTGCAATACCTTGGGCTTTGTTTGTGCCCCAGGATGGTCTCTTCTAAACTGTGAAGTGTTCCCCCAAGAGCAGGAAATGTGTTTCATTCAGCTTGGAGTATCCAGAGCCCAGTGCTGGATTTGGAGGGTGCCAAGGGCTCACAGGATTTTTATTGAGTGACCAACTGGTTGGTAAATAAATGAATGACTAAATCTGAACAAAGAAAATTTGAGGTAGCTCAGTCTGTTGAGAGGAACAAATCAGGAGTCCACACTGAGGACTTTCCCTCAGTCAGGGAGTCCTACTCACAGAGACATTTTGACATGCCTCTGACCCTGCCATGATGCTTGGAGAGAAGACGGATCTGACTGTAGCCAGTGTTCTGGGGTCAGCTGCCAAGGAATGGACTCCCAAAGCCCAGCTGAGACGTCTCGTTTGTGGGGCTGTGGAAGGAAAAGATGGCACAGGGAGGGGGTAGTCTGTCCTGTGGGTCTCTGGGACCACCCAGCTTCAGGTTTGAGTTTGAAGGTTGAATAGCCACTTAGAATGATCAGAAACACCTTCCCCTGGCTAAAGTGGTGGGGGCTGTCCCCCTTGCTGCCCTCTTATGCTGTCTCTGCCTCCTGCTGGCATTTCTGGAAAGAAACAGTTTCACCAAAGGAAGGTACAAAGGTAAGTTAGTAGAAGAAGTTAAGAATGAAATGTTAAAATATGAGCAGAGAAGACTAAAACAAGAAATGGAGAAGTCAAGTTCATGCAAATACAATAGGCAAAGTTTACTCAGTAGAGGCCTACCTCATGGATTAAGTGAATGAATGAAGTCTGTCATTACAGGAATTTGATATTAAATCGTTACAAGAAAATGGTAAAACATGAGGATTAAAAGGTGTAGGCAAAGAGATTGTTTACCAAACATATTTTCCTTTCCTCCTGGGCATACAGCTAAACTACATTTCCCAGCCTCCATTGCAGTTATACATGTGGCCATTTGATTTCTGGCCAATGGAATATGGGTAGAAGAGATGTACACCATTTGCCACGAGAGCCTCTTTCCTCACTCAGTGAAGAGAAGTCTAAGGCCTGAGAAGAGCATGGAGCTACAAAATGGAAGGAGCCAACGCCCTGGGAATGTTGGGCTTATCTGTAGCAGCTAGCATTATTCTAAATGAAACAGTAGGTTACAAATAAGAACTTCATTTGAAAACTGTGTTTATCAGGGGAATTTGTTAGGTAGGAAAAAGAAAAATAAATAGTATGAAATGAGAACAGTGTAACAGAGTTATTTCTTCATTTAGGAAATGGAAGTAATTCCTTTCATCCAGTAGGAGGATTAAATGAAGTAATGAATGCAATCCCCTAAGGATTTCAGGAAACATGGAAGACTAACCCAGAAGGACCCCCTTCCTGCTACAAATGTAGAAAAGCTGGATAAAATCCAACTAAAATAAGAAAATTGTAATGCTGAACTTGAAAGACAGGGAAAGTCATAGATATCAGACATGGATACAAAAATCAAAGCCAGAGTAGTAACCAAAAGCTGACACTGAACCTTCCCATAAGGGTTTCATACAGAGAAATGAGTTCTAGGGGCGGGTGGGAACAGGTTTTAATGTTCAAGCAGGGACCAGGGATGTGGCCCTGGACCCTCATCAAGTGAGGAAGCTGGAAAAAGCTCCTTGAGTAAATAATACTAAAGCAGCAAGGTAACCTCAAAAAGGCTAGTAATAGAGTGTATAAAGCCAAACACGAGAAGGAAGAAAGCCAAATCAATAATAAAGGAAAGGGAGAGGGAGCAAAGTAGTAGAAATGAGTTCAAATATATCAGTAATCGTAATGTAAATAGATTAAAGCTGACCTATCAAAAGGAAAATAGATCAGATTTTTAAGAACTACAGCTGTATACTATTTATAAAAGTACATTGAAAACATGATAAAAAGATAGATGAAGGGATAGAAGAAGCTAAACCAGGCAGATGAACACCAAACAATTTATCTGCCATAGTGATATTAACATCAGGCAAAATAGTCTTTAAAGCAAAAGAAGTAAGAGAAACTTTACTTAGTAATAAAACAGTTCATGGGAAAATAGAACAATCCTGAAACTAACCTGCATGCACCTGATAAAAGAGCCTTAAAACATACAAAGCACAAACTGACAGAATCATAAAGTGAAATTGACAAATGAAAAATGCCTGGACCATAGGAGCTCAGTATTTAGGAGCTGTGATTATTATGAGACCCAGAAGGAGGGGGGGCCTGGTACTTTTCAGCAGCAGGGCAGAGTCCAGGGGTAGTCAATCCTTATAGGAGCAAAGGGGAACTTTGGGCTGGGGCAGTTATAGCTGGACTCCTAGCCTCTTTCTAGAGCCCTCCCATTCCACCCTGAGGATGGCTATGCTCAGGAAGAAAGGAGGACCCTGAGCCGGAAGCCACATCCTTCCTCTACTTTAGCAACAGCCTCTCTGCTGGTCCTTCTGACTCTCAAAACCCTTATGGGACATTCCTACAGTAGAAACAGCCATCTGCAAAAGTTTTTGAAGGAAAATTTGAGGCACATCTCTCAAACACAGTCTGGTAACCCTAAGATTTCTGGGACTCCACCCCCTCCCTTCATTCCCTCCCCCTCATATACTTCATTCTTCTCTTTGCTTGCCGTCCTCTTCAGCCTCCCCCTCAACCCTTGGCAGCCAGGACAGCCCCAGAAGTTTCTCTGTTTTGCCCAGCAAAACTCCGGGGCATAGGAGCCTGTCCCAACAGCTCTACCCTTGTGTCCTTTCATCACTACTTTGCCAGAAGGCCAAGAGCCTCACCTCTGGGAGCTGCCACAGTCAGAACCAGTGTGGGCATCCCAACTCAATTTAAGTCAGAACACAGGCCCTGGGAAGTTCCATGAATAGACTAACCCACTCACTGATGATTCCCTTTCTGTTCCTTCTATGATGTTCTGCCTCTGCTTTTCATTGTCTAATTCAACCTACACTCATGAGCACTCTCTCGGTCCCAGATATTCTTGTGTCTGCCCCTTGCCCATTCTTCTACTCCTGCTTTCCCAAGTCCAAGGAGCCCCAGAGAGTGCAGAGTTTCCGTTGATTCAGGAGACATTTCCCAGAGCAAATATTTTAACTGACCAAAGTCCACATGAGGTCAAGATGGAGTCTGGTTGGATGACCAGGCTGTGTGGGAGGCATCTGAGTACAGGCAGGCAGCTGTTAAGCCTTAGAGAAGGAAATAACTTGTCCATAAGAATGGAGGAGCCCTAGAAAGAGCAGAACCAGATAGCACCAACAAAGTTTTGCACCCAAGAGAGCACCCCGTCCACCTATGAGGATGCAGCATTGGCAATGAAGGAGTGGAAAAGAAGGGGCTTGGAA